TGTCCCAACGGAGCTCTTCAATCTGAGTATGGTTAAAAAAAAGGAAGTTATATCGACTATCTATTTTATTATGGCTGGCACTGCCTAAAGCAAGCATATCTTGAAGTCCACTTTTCATGAGGCGGAAATAACTGATTTTAACGGAGCGCGACACCCAAGCGAAATGTTATTGAAATTGCCACGATACGCGTTACTGTCGTATAATGGAACATAATATTCCACTTGGCAGTATAAAAAGTGTACGAACAATTTCTTATAAACTAGATAAATTGCCGTTAAAGACGTGGCGAAGTGAAAGCTAAAGGAGACGTCTAGAGACCGTCTGAGATCAGTCGTGAAACATACTTTTGTCCATTTGAATTAAACGGCATTACCGGAATTCTGTGGGTTGTCATTGTTCGCTACAAAAGCGCAATGGTAGGTTATCCGTAATACTTAACGGACTGTCTGTCGGGATCGCACTTCGCTATGATCTACGCGATGAACTTGGCAGTATTATGTTGTGATATGCAAAAAATTAAGTTGAATTGAGTGACCAACGACAATGAGACAATGCTACCACAGTTCCTTGATTATCGCTTAATGTTACCCGCAGAAAAGTACGCCCGAGTCTAGAAATCTGTTGGAAAACTCTAATACTACCAACAATAATAATAACAACAACATTATAATAGCAGAAACAATTAAAATACCTATATATATATATACGTAGCAAGTCGGGGAAAAAAAACATGCTACTCCCCTTTTATAGTCCCCCGACAATTCTGTAGTCATTACGGCAGTCTTTACCACATCTAGAAATCACATTTGTTCTATACCTAAATCCACTTCCAACTGCACCCTTCGATATCGTTCTGTTTAGGACCTGGCAGATTTAATATTGCCGCTGCTGTTTGTTCTAACGTTGCAACTTGGCTCGACTGTACTTGACGGTCATCTCAGCGTTCGTCGACGGCGAGAGGGAATGGGGAGACACGGGGGATGCGCGTCGTTGGGAACAGCAAGAGAAGATCAGCCATATAGAATGCTTTCGAAAAGATGACAAATTGAATTACGATTTGTGCAACATGTTGCATAACACTAATGTGGGACACCTTCATTTTTTACCGATCTGACATTTTTCCAACAATCGATTCAGATGTGATCCGATGACGTAGACAATACGGTTCGTACGAGAGAAGATCAATGCGCCCGCCAAACTGCTCCATGCGTCTGCCCGTCTCCATGTCTCCGTGAGCCTATTCATATTGTTGTATCTCATCCACGTATCTGTACATTTACAGAGTCGTGGCAATTCAATGGCTGCTTAGTTCGAGTCCTAGCGACTGCACAGTAATAATAGGACATGTAAAAGTTTATGCAGCGTCGTTCGAGAATAGCTGGCAAACAATTGCTTGTCAGGTAGACAGATGACAGGCGACGCTGAAAGAAATAAGAATGAAGATTACACCTGTATGCTGACTCTGTTAGACAAAAAGATGATGATAAGACGGGGAAAGCCGGTCGGCGAGATATATATATGTTAAATTCTGCCTGTCGTTATACCACCTGATCCCTGTAGTATTTCTTTTTCGTTCTCGCAACCCCCAACACGGGCGGAGCGAGAGACAATAGTGAAGAACACACTGGCTTCTTTACAACCGTCGCTGTTATGAGGTAAACTTGGGCACGTTCTTGGTACTGATTTTATGGCACAATTCACCTAGAGGTGTCCAAATACTGATGTTTGCAACGTACGACAACACGTAATATCGTTGCGGTGACGTTTAACCGAACGGCGGTGAATCGATCAATAGATTTTACGTGCTTTTATAATCGTGATGGTATCGTATCGTATAGTATAGTAAATGCTGGTGTTAGCAATTATATTTGTTCGCAGCTATATCGTGTCACAGTAAGTAGCATGTAAATAATTGACCACTAGTTATACCACGAAATCTTTCGAAAGGACCCTCATCAGAACACTCTGATGTAAATGCGGGTATTTGTCATGCTACAGTGAACGTCTCCTTGAGAAATAATTCGATATCTTTCTTCCCCCTTAATTACCCTTCTAACTTCGTCAGTGTTTGTTACAATATAGGTATTTGTACTTTGTCTGCTACTACGTTTTAGCATTGCTCTAACCGTGTCAGATGTTAATTCCACAGAAGATATCATCCCATAGTGTGAATTCGTATTAAAGAGACAGCAACGTTTCGGCCCGTCGATTGGATTTAGCTTGAGGTCCTGGAATAGGCATTCTTTTTTACGAAAAAAAGAAAGCCAGAACAAACAATAACAGCAGGTGCAAGAAGAATTGAAAAGGACAGAGCAACCCCACGTTCTACTCAAAACCGGAAGGCCCCGTTCCCTACAATATAAGGAATTTCTACGTGAGGCAGGACTATACAAATAGCACACGACCACAGGTTGTGTGCTATTTGTATAGTCCTGCAATTTGACAACCATATTTTTAAAATAAATTTGATGGTCAGACGAACCAGACACTAAAACGAATGCTTTCTTGGATCACATTTCTTACCGTCGATTTATATTGCCATTAATTTAAATAAATTTCTCCGGTTACTAAAACCTTTCCTTCTTTCCGCTTATTTCATAGTGTTTATTTAATTTCTATCAGGTCCACTAGATGGCCAGATCTTTTGCGACACGGGTATGTACAGATACCGTCTAAGGCCACAACTGGACTTACTGCTATAGAGGTTTACTCGTTCTGCACATGGAGATAGGGCGACGATGATTAAATCCAATTAAATTTTGTACAGTCATTTATAGTTATGTGTTGCATGAAGCTCTATACACTTCCCGCTTTGCTAGACATCCATATGACTGACTTTCATCTATTTTTTTCCGTTAGAACCAACGATAAAGTCACCTGCTCTTCGGTTTAATTTGTCTTGACGACGCCTTTCTTGTTTTACTTTCAACATAGAAAAACATATTTGGGATTCGGCGTACTACTGGAGGTGACGATCGTTTCGGCGACCCGACAGCGGTTAGTTTTGCTGAACACCTCACGCACCCCGAACGAGAACCGTATATTGTCATACGGAAGTGTCAACGCGGTTGAGACCCTGTAATATAACAGTGGGATCGGTGACCGTTATATCGTTTTGCCAAGCCTAATACGACTGAAATAGTCATCATTTGATTTTTTGTCTTACCTTGTCACGCATGCGTATACATGTTCAACATTGAAGTCTGGTATTATTTACTTCGCTGTAAGCCATGTGTTAATTGAAAAATAGTACTATTTTTTCACGTGCTTAATAAAGACAGAAGTACGTCTGAAGTTGAATTTGTTCGATCATAAGTGCATACACTTGAGATTATGCAAGCCGGCAATTTACATGTACGTTCTTGGATGAATGCGCCTCATTTCATGTCGTTTCAGCGGACGAAATCGATTCGTCTTTATTTAAACCATCTACTTACGGACCGATAGGACAGGTTCATGGAACGCTTTCTACGTGACTGAACAAGCTAGAGTCAATGTACGTCATCGAACTTCAGAGAGCGCATATGTCGGCCAGAAACTCAATATTTGATTTTAGTCGGCCATTATCCTATTAATTATTAACGACTACACGTTAGGCTTAGATGCAATCGGTAACATTGGAGACGAATTGTAATCGTGGCCTAGCTACAGTGCGACGTACGTGGTCCTGGTCTGTAGTGAGTGTTCTTCTGAAAGAATTACGCGGTTACCGCGTAAGACCAGACGTTACGTGCTTGCGAAATAATTAGGGGTGATCCAAGGTCCGACTGAGAAGCTGTTCTTGCGAATTTCAACAGATATGGTGTAAATATTAATTAAGCACAGTAAACACTTTTTATAGATGTGCTTTATTTCGTTGTCGCTTTTATTAATTTTCCATTTACTTTAGTCAAAGCTTTCGTATTATGCTTTTTATCACCGCTTACAGGTAGATTATATCTTGAGCGGTTTCCAACAGGTAATTATAGCTTGCTAGGCACATAACAGGGCTCTCAGACCACACTACTATGTCCTTCGTCTGTATATCGTCGGAACTTGTCGTCATACGCAGTAATGATGCCCGGCGATGTTTCTAAATTGTTTTTTGTGCGCTATAACAGACTCATACCGTTTATCTGGAAGCGCGGATATTCCTCTGAACTACGACAGCTCGGGAATTTGTCGTCTCGAGCCCTATTGTATGTCACAAAGCCTGTACACACACAAATGCAGTCAGTCAGCTTGATTACTTTTAGTACGTATAATAAATACATCGAAACATGTGCTCCTGATCGTTTTTGCAAAGCTTGGCAACATCCAGAATCCTGCCAGATATTCAAAGTACACGTTAACATTTTCCACCTGTCGCATTTATAGAAAGAGTACAGTCTTACATTTTTATTATGTATCATCGATCCGCTATTTGTTGTTTGGCCTCTTTATCCTTCCACTATATCGATTTTGTTGCCGACGACCATCAGCCAGATGTTGGCACGACTGCCATCACTTCCATCATCGGTGTATACGTGCTACAGGAGTACTTTTCGGTTAGGAAATATTCACGCTTTTCCGCTAGGTTCGCTCGTGTTCTTCTCTCACCCGATTTTCCGTATTCCTCTACTGTTTCCGTTGTTTCTGCTTTTCCAACAGCGATTCGAGCGGTGGCGATTGTGGCGCCTTCCCTAGCAGAAGCTGCTGCGTTTATGGCACACCAACGTCTTCCCCTCATCAGACAATATCATCGTTATCATCATCATCATCGGCTGAAGCAACAGCACCGCCAGTTCTCGTGCCATTGCTATACAACAGCTGCTTCTGCTGTAGCGGCTGCTGCCGCTGCGGATCTTGGTCTTGGACTTGATGAGCCCTCGCGGCGGCCGTGTCCGGACCACTAACGCCACTGCAGCAGCTGTTGCCATCGCCTTCTCTTTACCCATTCTGCCGCATCGCTTGTCTAACCCACTTTCTCGCGGCAGTTGCGCCTTGGCCGAACCGCGTTCCGGCCGCGTTGTGACTGACCGTTACGAATAGCGCGGGTAGCGTTATGAAGTAAGCAACGGCGAAGACGTTGAAAGACCGAAGTGCCGAAAGGCTAACAAAGAAGGCCACTACAGCCACTGATACACACTTAGTACGACGCCTGCAACCACGAACGGTGCTACTAGCATAGATGATGAAAAGAAACCAGATATCGACGCTTTGGCCGCAACTAGAGTAAAGCGAGGTTCAACGACGAAACGCGGTACGGGCCTATGAAACTAGTTCCCACTTTAAAGTGAACGAAAGTCAAGCGAGATTAAGTCAACGATAAATTGTACAGTGAAGATTTCAAGTGTCGGCTGTGCACGAGAAGTGGTGCGAAGTGGAACCTGTAGAAGCTAGCTTGAAGGGTGAAGTCTTCTCGAGCCTTTCGCGGCTTTCGTTAAGTGCGAGTACAAAAAGTCAATTTGAAAGGGGTGCGAAAGTGATTGTGAATATCGGTGCGAGGCGGGACTGGGGCCGTTCGTGAGTGAAGTACATCGAGTACAAACTACGCTGAGCTATAAGTGGGAACGGTGTCCTGAGATAACCCCTTCGAAACCTACTGCACCTGAAGGACTATATACAACAAAGTTCCTGCTGGCTGTAGTTAACAAAACAACATCTGTGCATAGACCTACGCAGAACAAATTTACTGGATAGATGCCATACATATAAGATAGGCGTGTTGCAGATCTAGTTTTTCTGTAAGAAGAAGAAAAATATCCTCCAATAATAGTGACATTTCTGTTCAGTGTGCCCTCAAGGGATACGTGTTCGTGAGGACCAACGTCAACAGACATGATCAACGGATAGACGTTGTGCAGGTTTGGAGGTAGCCTCCGACGAACCCCTTACAATAGGATGGCGCCTACATCTGGCGTCGGTGTCGGGCTGTGCGCGAGTCGTCATAGGCTTCTCGCAGTACGAGAAAAAGGCAAAAAAATTGTTAATGTAGTGATTAAGGATGATACTTGTGCCAACTACGATGGGCGTGCGCGACGAATGAAGATCGCCGCCGAAGAAACGCGTCCCCTTCAGACGGGGGACACTGGACGCCTATTAGGCGCAGCAACACTAGTCTTCTTTTTTTTGCTGCTTCAAACAGGTAAGTTTCATTAAACTAAAGGTCAGTGAAGAATTTGGTCGTGTATTTCAGATAGAGGTCTTAGCTGAATACAATTCATAGATACTAGACGAGATATGAACAATGTGGTGTGGCAAAGAAAAAAACCACTAGAGCAAATACAAATGAATATAGTCGTCTAAGCAGTGATGTTATACCCCCGACATGCTACTCTTGTTAATATGGCTAGAGCTAAGTTATTGTCATGTACCGCTCGATGATTTGATCCGTCGATGTGATGCTATTCCCATATTTTTTCCGGTCCGCATCCAGAACAGTACAACGTTATAACAGAACCGCTTGTTTCATCCGCCTTCACAACATCAGCGAGAATCCTCTACTATTCAACAGATAGATAAAGACCAAGCAGATTGGTGATCGACCAACAGAGTCACATGAGTAGTTCATGCTCGGTCGTTGTATGATTTTCTGATTGTCACAAAGCTATACTGCTGCCGCAACCATATACGCGAACGTACTGTATACGACGAATTTGTGAGGCTGCTATACCATTGAAACAGTGAAGCCTCTTATAAAAGTGCCCCCGCCATTGCCGGTATAAGCATGTCCCACTTTGAAGGATGTGTTGGTGTTGTTCATCACCCCTTCGCTGTTGCTTGAGTTTGCTGCCATGGCTGCACAAAGAAATTATTTCTCGTTTTTTTTTTTTCTAGCTTGTCAAACGTACACATTGTGTACCATCAGCAAGGCAGATCGAACGGTCGATGTGTGCTGGAAACGTGTTCGCTGGCTCGTAGTGTACAGCATCATAACTGATTGCACTTGCTGCTGCACACTCGGTTGGGTCGGCAGCTTCGTCGCATTGGTCCTGCTGTTATGGAAAACATCTGCGATAGAAGCCTCAGACAGACCTCAGTAGTTCAACGTGAGTGAATCAGTTATGTTTCCTGCCTTCTCTCCAACAACTGCTCCTGCCACGTATTTCGGCTGTGCATCAGTTTCTTGATCCGGTCGCCTGCCTTCGGAACTGTATCTATCTTGCGCTGTCGATCTTATTAAATAATCTGAAGCAGCAATGAACACCGACGAGATCATGTGCGAGCTTGTCGGTTAACGGAATATTCTACGTGACAATGAAGCCGTAGTCTATGTACTATACAACATAGACGTCATCGTTAGGTAGGAAAACTATCGTAGCCATGCAAAACTACAGCGTATTATGTAACATCGTACTGCAGTGCACATGTGTGAGCAAAACTACACCGGTAATGCTAGTAATAGTAAAGATATATGCAGCACAGGGCTATAAGTGTAGTGACGCTTGTTGCTCCTCTATGGTAGAAGAAGTCGGTCGGAGAAGATAATCCAACGTAACTAACGCCATCGCTATTACCCTCAACTTCATTACACGTATGACGTCGTATACACGCATACACGATTATACATTTCGTATATTCGTAATAGGACTATGAACTAACTGTGGCTTTTCAGATCTACTGATTGATATGAGCACTACGCCTGTCAGGACCCGTATTTCGTCTGTATCGTATAATCGACGTGTAATATATATGGCATCGTGGCAATGCAATGGATATCCACGCTCGTGGAGGGATATTATAGTCAGTCCATGTGCTATCGTTAGCATAGGTAACTTCCTTCACTGACAATTCAGAATGAGTTAAACCAATAGGGATGTTTGCCGTCATTTCAATTGGCTTCTAAGCTATTTGGCTATCAGTGAGGAGTCGCAACGGTAGCTAATGACTCGAATTATAAGGAGACTGGCTGGGCGGACAGATGGTCTTCGCGTAGCATACGGCCATAGGTGTCCGAATATATCTATGGAAAAATAGTTCTATGTAAAAACATATAAGATGAACGACGTTTTTCGTTAGATCCGTACGGAAGCATGCGGTAATACCATGTATACCGCGTGATATTCTTCGATAGCAATATCGCGGAGAGTGTATATGAGTTTAGTATATTGGCGGTCGGAATGAATGAGAAGTTCATCATCATTTAACAAAGCTAACGAGCAAACGTGTTCTGTTTAGCTACATATA